GGAAGTAAATAAGTGCGTTACTGTCTTTTTAAATATTCAAGATTTAACCATATGAATGACCCGGAAAGCTTTTACCCTGAATATAAATACCCCAGTGCCTTAATAATTAAACTGGTTCCTTATGCTGCATCTAAGTTCAAGAATTAAAAAAATAGCAAAGCAAGCGCTGCATTCCTTCGGATTTCTGTTCATTTTAAAGAAATTCCATTTCATTTATCATTTAAAAATTTGCAGGTAATTTTGAGAGATGTGAAAAGTAAATATTTTCTTTAAATGATTTACTGATAAAGCTAGAATAAATAGAGACATTATTTAAGAATCGTCAGGGATTGCGTAAGGAGTGTCGGTCGTTTTTACTCCTAATAGTACATACGTTATAAGCATATGCTTGCAAACATTTGTACCGGTCAGAACAAGTTTAAAGTGACTTTAAAACAACTCTCAGTATTGATAGCTGGATAGAGTGAGGGACAATAAAAACCAGGGCAAAGGTAGCATGCACAGCGAATAACTTTAATTTGTTAAACTTCTTAATCATGCCTCTCGATTTCTGACCAAGCTGATTCATGGTGTTGCCTGAGCTATTGAAAGAAGTGCGTTGTCGAGTCACGAATTGCAAAATATAGTTTCAACTACCATATGCTGCCACTTCTGTTTTATTGATTGCATTAGGCTTCTTCTTAAGTTTTTAATTAGCGTTTAGGAGGTAAAATATGATGGCAATAGGAAAGACGTCGCATATTCAATGGAGTGTTTGAGCCAGAAGCTTCCATTTGTGGTAAACGTTGAAAATAAAACCCCCAAAAGCTGAATAATTAAATCATTATTCCTACGTTCTATCAATTTCGAGATTAAATGTATTTTACGTGTCAAATGCAACGCTGTATTTATGGAAAAGCAACGTTTAATTTTTATTTCAATCACTTTTCTGAAACCATTCAAAGGGCTTTAAAAGCAATATGGTATTTTAGAATTTGATGAGCATATAGATACTCCAGAATTTGTTTTATACTGAGTATTACAAAACGATCATTAAATCTTCTCTGTCAATCTTTTTACATATGTTTTCCACCTCTTAATTTGCACAATCCTTCGTCCTTACTATCATTATCATTTATATTTCCAATTAATTTAAATTACCACCTTGTTTCAAAGTCACTGAAGTTATCTGATACCATGTTAACCTTTTTGTGGTTAGGGAGAAATTTACCTATACAGGAGAAACAGCTCTTGTATTAACACGTTGCAAATGAGTTGTACTGAAGACTGTGATTTGTTCACCTCGTAGATTAATCAGAATGTTTCATGTATGCATGCAGGTTGGAGATTCTTAAGTAAAAGGTCTTAGCTTTCCTGGTACGTTTATTGTGTGCATCTTCAGAACATCTAATTACGCTTGAAATACAACTCTAACTCTACAACTCAAGTCTAATATTTAAAGTAATATTGGGATTATTGGGGCAAAGCATCATTTTCAGTTTCATGATTTTCTCAGGCACTTCGATAGCTATAAACATGCTTTTAATGATATTAAAATACTTGAGCAAAGTGATATAAAAGAGGTTCGGGTATTTTTCTTTAAAGATCTACTGTTTATTTTATCTATAAAAACGTGATTTCCTGCCCTATTTGGGTACAGTCCCACCTTTAACAGATCTACTTATTTCACCAAACTGGCTATATTTGGCTTGGGAACAATTTTGTTTAATTATAATTCATAATTTACCACTAATTTTAGAACACAAATGGCGCTTGTCTGACGTACTTGTTCCTAACAGCAAATGTATAAGTATCACAGTGATGCTAAAACAGCCTTTCCTAGTTTTTAGTTGTTGAATAATTTGGGGCGAAAAGATTAAGTACAAGGAAAGAAAATACATATACCTTTCGGGAATCGGGAATTTTATTTTATTTCAAATTCTATTACCTCCGCCAAGGAGGTTATGTTTTTACCCCTGTTTTTCTGTCTGTCTGTCTGTCTGTCTGTCATCAACATAATTTAAAAAATTATGGACCGATTTTGATGAAATTTTCAGGAACTGTCAGAAGTGGGCCAAGGAAGAGATGATTAGTGATGATCCGGATCAATAATCAGTCAATAATAATAAAAAATCGCTGCCTTGGCGGAGGTCTGCGCTCTCGGAGTGCTTTTCTAGTATTAAGATCTGCACTTCTGCCTTGTCTTATAGTGAGTTATAAGGCAGACCAATTCTATTTTTTTTTTCACGGGACTTTAAAACAAATCTATGTATCGGTAGATGAATAGAGGTAGCTGAATAGTGTTTTTCAAGCTGTTTCATAAAGTTGCATGGGGTTTTCATGGAGTTGCCTGAGGTACAAAGCCGCCAGCTGCAAATTCCTAACCTGCCGTGGATTATGTAGCTCCCCCTCTCCTTAGTCGCCCCGTTACGAATCATTTGTTGTATTTCAAAAGCCATATGTTGCCCTTTCGGTTTTTATAAGTATATTTTGTTTTATCTGAAGCTTTTAATTACTGTTAAGAATCTGGGGTAAAATATGACGAAAATAGCAAATACGTCGCATATTTAATGAAGTGATTGAGTCGGAAAGATTTTATTTGCCGTATACGTTGACCATAAAACCCTCAATGACTAAATAATTAAATCTCTTTTCCTACGATCTATGAAACTTGAGAATTGATATAATTCATCCAACGTGTCAAAATTTACTGACTTTATGAAAATGCAATGATAAGTTTTCAAAAAAAGAATGTATCTGATAACATTAAAGTGATTTTAATTTTCATTTAAATCAGGTTTCTGAAACCATTCAAGTGATATAAAAGCAATATGATATATAAGAACATTTTGATATATAATAATAATAAGATGATCCTAACAATTATCCAGGAATACTTATTGTTTTTATGCATTTCATAGTTATCATTAATTTCCTTCGGCCGCATAATATGACGATGTCAATCGCCTCTTTCCCTTTGAATTTACCTACTGTGTGACTATCTCATGAAATTTTATTCCATCTGTTTTGAAATCGGTTCAGATATTCCTAGTTTGCTACCTTATAAACGTATATAAAATGTAAAGGGCAATTATCCACTTCATCTTAATAATATTATACAATCATCAAGTCACATTAAGTGGGTATATTCATCAAAAGCGAAAAGATATTAAAAAAAGACCTAAACAACTAATTGACATAGGCGTTTTGAGACTGCAGCACCATCCTAACGACCTTATTTTATGACGTCGAATGTTTCTCTTGATGAAACTTATGATAATTTTAAGAAAAACTAATAATATTTCTTTAAAGAACACTTTGTTTAATTTATATCTCTTTTAACTTTCATTACATTTATATTGGTTTTCTATTGATTTTTGAAGTTTAAAACTTCTTATGTAAACAGCAATGAAACATTTGTGTAGTTCGCTTTAAAAATACGTCATTATTATTACAGAATTATAAAGAATACCGGGGAAATACTTAGGAGATGTGAGAAACAAGAGGGAGCACATGTACCTGTAGAATCCAAGGTTAGCAGAAACAAGTTAATTTGGTCACTACGTGACACGTGCCTTCACGTGAGAAGTTAAGGAATGTTGCTGGGAGTCAGCAATATTCACCCTGAGCTTCAGAGATAACTTGCCACTAACCTCTTCACTATAGCCTATCTTCATCATGTCAAGTTACCTCTGACGAAAATAGTTTGACCTAGTTTATATAAGCCAATCGAATCCATGTTTCAAAATTTTTCACCAAAGTTTGGTGAAAACGCTGATTGGTTGACCGTCAATCGGCAATCCTCGGCTGATTCCGCAAGCTCCATACTAACAACATAGTTATTGTCGAGTGCGGAGACATCCGAGTAGTTCCGAGTGCATAACCGTACACAAAGAAAGCATGGAGTATATCGGAATTGAAACTAGAGCAGTTTGATGCCCTGCATAATTATCTACTGAGGGATGATGTATTTTGCGTGCTGCCCACAGGTTACGGCAAGTCCCTGATATTCAGCCTTATCTTTGATTGGTCCGGATTTGAACAAAGCGCGCTTTGACTCGTTCGCGTTCATTGGCTAGATCGTTCAATGAGTCATTGAGTGCGGGCTTTAAATTTGATTGNAAGATCAGATTTGTCCAAATACGCCCCTTGTAAAAGTACATAAATGATATGATGAAAGGCAGTGTACTGACCTACCATTTCTTTATTGTGATGGAGGGATTAGCATGATTCACCTAAGGCCCTGACTGGCTACTGTCATTTATGACCAATGTTTGAGAGTTAATATTTGCTTTTAGAGGATGGGCAGCTGAGGTAAATACAATGATGTCCATCGTGTTATCTGGAAAATGTGGAGGTCCAGAAATTTAGCTTACCCTGGCAAATATGAGGGGCACGGATGATAAAAATAAACTGAGTCAGTGATGGTAAGGCCTACTGAAAATGCTAGATTACTGGGATACGTGTCCTGCTAAATGATGTACATTGCATGTCTCACAATTTTCTTCTAATAATAACTGCCAAATAAAATGAAACTTATTTTTAAAACAAACACTAAAAATAATTATCTGAAGTTCAACCCATACAAATGAGAGATATGATGACTTAGAAGCGTCAATGTATAGCCTTCTTGTTAAGTACCAGACATGCCTTTATTTTGGGCAATACCCCAGAATCTATGTTTGCATGGCACATGCAGATTTGACCAGTGGAATTATAAAACGGTATTAGTTATCACTGATCAAAAGTAAATATTTTGCCCTCCCATCTGTTATGGTGATCGCGCAATTCTGTCTCGCCACAATTTAACCTCTTAAACTTCAGTTATAGAAAAGTAGAAGGATCATGGATGGTGTATATGAAGGACAACAAAGTACGTTTGAAATGAGCTATTGTCAAAAGCTTCATCCCCTTTCTTATTTGCTTTTCACAACCCTATAGTATATTTAAATTATCTCTTAAAGAATATGAGACCGTCGTTTGCGCAGTCATGGAGCCGCTGTTCATTTTGCAAAAATATTCTACTTCCAGCTGTGCGTTGTTTGAAGCTTCCCTGAGCGCGGTGAATGGCTTTCATCTTCGCTGCCGTAATCATCGTTATTAAAGCTTTCATTTATCGCCCCCACCTTACTGCTCTGACTGGTATTTTGTTCTTTGCTCCTAAAATAAAATTGCCAAATTAGGAGGTAAAAAACGAAGAGGTACATGTAGAGGCCTGCTTTAGCGCCTGGCGCATTTGAATGTAAAAAAATCAACATTCCAAATGGATATATATGCGGGAAATGCTGCAACTATGTATACCTTTAATTTTCCTTAAAAGGTTTACAGAAAGACGAACTTTAGGTTCGAAAATGGGAGAAAACGTAGTCTATGCGATGCATGTCGAAAAAGGCTATATACTCACTGCTCATCATATTGAATGTCATTGTTATCTGTTTTTAAAGCAGAGGCATAGAGGGTTCTAGAAAGAAATAACACCGATTAATGGGTAACAATACACAAATTACGCGTAACGTGTGAACAAGTATTTCAACAACTTCTCTACTGGGACAAAATAACAATAACAAATGTAGGCACTGCTATTTTTTTTTTTTTTATTTTTTTATTTATTTATTTTTTTTTTTTTTGCCACAAGTAGCTACCAGACTCTTTAACAACATATTTGGTGGTATGATCGTTATAGAGAACCAACAGAAAGTTTCAAACTGCATACTTACTCGTTATATTTGGGAGTTCCAAATGCCTCGCCGTGCTCCAGAGTTTCTGGCATGTGTGTGCCAAGTGTTTCAGGAAGTAAAAGAGCCAGAAGACCAGCAACTAGGGAGGTAACACCAAAAACGATCGGCGGAATCTCCTTGGAAGTATATGATCCCTGTGAAATATAACACAGTAAACCGGTGTCATTTAAGATAAGATGTAAGCCTCATGGTTATGGACCTTTCTAGAATGCTCTTAATTTTAAAATAATAACGCCTTTACATACTCAAGTAGGCAAAAGAGTATGTATGGAAGTGCTATATTCATTGCGATTTTTATGGATATCTTCCTTTCATGACTTTAACTCCTTTTCATTCATACACGAAATTTTCACTGAGGTAGTCATACAGCTGGTAGGCCTGTAAGCAAGGGGGGTTCCGGCAGTTTGTCCGTTAAGGATCCGCTTTGAATCAACATTTGCGACTGCTTCTATGCCATTTCTCAAGTTGGGTCAACAAAGGGGATAAAAAGTCCACTTTTGCAGCCCCCCCCCCTGAACTTTCTGGCTACAGGTGTGACGAAGCGAGAAACATTTAAAAAAGAAGGTAAAATAATTGGTACCGAGTCTACCTTTCTATGTTCCTTTCAAACAGTTATCTCACCATATCTGCCCAAACAAAAATGATCCACCAACTCACACACAAGTTTTCAACTTACATATGTATTACATGTATTCAAATGTATAAAGGAATTTTTAAGCTATTTTAAATCTTACCGTCAGATTAACAAGTGGTGCAAGAATTCCCCCGACCCTGGCGATCATGGAACAGACTCCAATCACTCCGTTTCGTACGACGGTAGGGAATGCCTCAGCGGAGTAGTTGTACACAAGGACAAAGCATGCACCAGAGAAGGCTTTGCCAATCATGGACAGCGTAATGCTTAGCCAGTCTAATCCTGGATTTAATGCAAAATTCAAAATATTTTATTGTACGTTAAAACTAAGGTTAAGGGGCTTTTGGTCTTCAAGTTCAGATGTTTTGTACTATTTGCCAAACATTCACATTTGTGAAATCACAGTGGACCAAAACTGACTTTTCCTGATTAAACGAAAGCAAGTGTAGTTCAGAGCGATCAATTTTTAATTTTTTAATATTAAGATGTGAAAGGGTATTCCAACTTCACCTGCTGTATCAGGGATGACGGCAGCTCCAATACAAGCAACCCCACAGGATATCATGCTAATGCATAAGCATGGCCGCCGCCCTATCCGGTCCATGACCAGAATGCAAAACAGAAATCCAGGGAATTCCACCAACCCAGACAACGACAGGTTCAAATAATCATTGCCACCAGGAAGCTGTGACGTGCCGAGGGACAAGCCATAAAACACCAAGCTCGTGGTGAACCTAAGAAAGTTTAGTCAACTAAGTAAATAATTAAATACTTGATTTTTAATGATATGATATGTCATTTAGACTATAATTCATAAGGAATACACCGAAAAATATTTTTCATTGACGCGTTGCATTCTTTAGGAAAATAAAACCCTGTCCCGTGCTAATTTTTTTTCACGCGAAGAAACAAACACATGTAACCGACGAGTTGCAAACTTACTTACCAATTAAAGAACATTATCAGAGCTCTATTTCTCATACGAGGATATTTCATAATCTTGAACACATGCGATTTTTCATGTGAGTCAGGCTCTAACTGAAAAAAGAATGTAAATTTAAAATAAGAATTCGACATCAGATATGTTTTTTTTTAAAGGTGTGTGTTCTCGCGCATTCCAACATGTATTGAAATATCACAGCTCGTAGGATTATATGTCTTGAATCAGTTGACATGCTTTGAAAACTTGAAGCATATAAAATGAAATTTAAAGATATTATTGAGAGATAAGATTTTTTTTTTTTGACAATTATACCTATAGGTCTTTTTAGGCTGCTACTGGTTGCAATACCTGATCTATCAGCTTTTGTATATCAGGCATGCCGTTCATTTTTGCCGCCTTTTGTATGATTTTCTTTGAACGCTCTACTTGAGAGTTTTGCATAAACCATCTTGCAGATCCTGGAATTATTCTGTCCCTAGTAGGGAAAAACAAAATGTTTTGTGACGTCATTAAGTTGTCATTTTCCAACTTTGTCACGGAATTTTAAAATTGTGGCAAGAAATAAAGTATATTGCACCGTTAAAGAGGGACTTTAGCACGAATTTTTGATCATAATACCAAAACGTAATGGACAAAACTCTGCTTCCGCCAGTTTTGAGCACATAATGATCAATCTTTTAAAAATCATTTGTGCAAGTAACACTTACCAACAATAAATCAAAAAGAAAACACTTGGAGCAGTTATGATCAGTTGAAGCCAAAACCAATACTGAACGAAATATGCTGCTAACGATAAAGTGCAAAACCCCACAGCAAAAAAGGCATTGAATGAAATCCCAGTGATAGCCCGTCCTTGTTTTGCTCCAATCAACTCCATAGCTGTAAGATATTAATTGAATTTCTCAATAAGACCACGTTTACGTGCTACAGAAATTGTACTTGCGCTAGACAGAAAACATACAAGAGCATTTCAGAAATATATAGTAAATTTACAGTTAACATTTATTTGTTTGAATCGATTTAAATTCTTTTTTATTTAACGACAAGAGTCAACAGTTTTACAGCGATTTTTGTACCATTGACATGTTACCTACGTTCTCATGATGCTATATTCCACGAAGGATCCAAATACATGTTAGAAAAAATACAATTATTATTATAAATATGATGCTCTCACCGATCACAAATCCTGGCAGGAAGACTCCGGAATGTGCAGCCCCAAGAAGAAAACGTAGAGTGGTGAAAGTGATGTACTCTGGAGCGAACGCCAGCGCAACGCCGCAAAGCACTTGAAAAACCTGACTTATGAACATTAAACGCTTCCTGCCAAACCTGAAAATATAAAACGCAAAGGATTTAAACTCATAATTTCTAATCGTATGCATTTTGTAAAAGCGTAGAATCATTTAATTCGACCAAGATTAGGCCGAGATGTCTTTCAGAGGACATAGCACCTCAAACTACTAGTATACGCGTAGGTTCACACTTACCTGTCGGACAAATCACCGATAACAATGGCTCCAATCAACATTCCCGCCATGTACATGGACTGGGCCAAGTTGTTCAGGTACTTGCGATCACAAACCATGTTGAACTAAGAATTGAAAAAAAAAAAACATCCCCTTATACCCCCGTCACACTTAATTGGAATCAGCAGGAATCAAGAAAAATGAGACTGAATGAAGAATTTTAAAAATTCGCACCACATTCTTGAAAAAAATTTAAATTGACCTTAATTATTGTAAGAGTACCGTTGGAATACTCAGAATGCGCTTGTATTCGCCTGGAATAATGAGTGCACTTTCGGCTGTTTTAGCTCTCAAATGCAGTTCGAATGTAGTTGGAAAACTAGGAATATCTATAATGCTGTAAGAAGGCAGTAAGAATATTTAGAATATGCTTTGAATGGCGTACTAGTGTAGTTCGATTGCTGGCAAAATTAATATTTCACCTCATGCGAGGCACATTCGAAACATTCTGGCGGGATTTTATACCCCCGTCACACTAGAGGCGGAATGATTAAGAATGGTGTCGAAAATACAATTCTTTGTGCATTCCAGGTTATTCGAAGAGCATTCTAAAAATTCCGAGTGCATTCCAAATATTTTTACCCATTCTTGTGGCCGGCTTGAATGTTTTTGTCATGTCAAAAACTTTCGAAGTGCATTTCAAGTGGAAAATTATCGAATGGCATTTGAACAGTATTCTAACTGCACTATGACTGCATTCTAAATATTCTCACGGCATTCCGACAGCATTCGAAACATTATGATCAGTTATCATTCCAGTGGCGTTATTTATACACTCTAGGCATCGTGTTACATTCTAAACATGTTACAAAGTAATTTTTAATTAAGTATTTTAGGTATTCAGCTGCATTATGTTTGAATTCTTTATATTTCAAACCATCATTGGCAGCCATAACGGGAGCAGTTGACTGCATTTGAGTTCGCTTCATATATGATTCGAGGCACCTTCTTACATACTTCAGCCTGTATTCGGCCAGCAGTCAAACCACACTCGTACGGCATTTGAATTTCATTCGGAATATTCTGACTGCAATTTGAAATTCCCTCCCGATTAAGGCACGAATTTTTCAATTAATTCATTCAGGCTGGTTCAGCTTGATTCCTGCTGGTTCCGAATAAGCGTGACGGGGGTCTTAAGTCATGTGTCAGTTCGAATATCCCTCGAATGTGATCAGAATGTTTCGTATGTTGCCAGAATGCCGTTAGAATATTTAAAATGCAGTCATAGTGTAGTTAGAATACTATTCAAATGCCATTCAATAATTTTCCACTTGGAATGCACTTCGAAAGTTTTTAACATTCAGGCCGACCACAAGAATGGGTAAAACTATTTGAAATGCACTCGGAATTTTTAGAATGCTCTTTGGATATCCAGGAATGCACAAAGAATTGTCTTTCTGACGACATTCTTGTTCATTCTGCTCTAGTGTGACGGGGGTATTACTGTCTACTACATTCGCTGTACTTTTTCTCAGATTGAACAACAGGGATATATAATATTATTTAAATGACATTTAAAAATGACATCAGCTGAGCTGGAGACATAGAAATAACATGGTTGGGTATAACAGGACAAATGTAGAAATCGAATTTGCATTGGTATTATTAAACAAAACAACAAATGTTTTAAATACTGTATATAAGATATTTAAACAACAAATATGCAGCAAAGTGTCTTTATATCCTGTGCACACATGTGTAACAGCAGACCAGAGCAGCCGTTCATTAACTCATTTTATGCACTGAACTGTTTTCAGACTGAGACCAATTGACTGTCTGTCTGTCTATTACTGATACTATTACTATTATTACTGATCAAACTGCATGTAATATACATACAAAATCTTGAAAATGTATAATTTCATACAAGAAAATATCCTGTTCAAAAGTTCAGAGCACTCAAAGAGCTGCCAGCTGCACCAAATTGCTGGACTGCCGTGGAATTGGATGCTTGTCTTTGAGCGCATACAGGACAGCGGACCAACAGATCCGCGGATCAGATATGGCGACCCGATTAAAAACTTAATTCCCGATTAGACATTGAATAGATTTGAATAGATTTCCCGGGGGGGGGGGGGGGGGGGGGGG